GGGGTGGGGCTGGGGATGAGAGGCTTAGGGCTGGGGCAGAGGGTTGGGGTGCAGGGGGGGTGAGGGCTCTGGCTGGTGGTGGGGGATGAGGGGTTTAGGGTACAGGCTGCCCTGGTTCTATGGCGGGGAGAGAGAACTTCCCCCAGCTCTCTCTTGCCGCAGCAGAACCTGGGCCGGGGGAGAGGCATCTCTTCCCACCGCAGCCCTGAGTGCCTGCACAGCACTTAATAGGCTGCTGCATGGCCGCGCAGCTTAGAGGGAACTTAAGGTATGAGTTTTCATCCACTTTCTTATACCACCCTCTTCTTCACTGTGGAATCGGATTGCTTAATTTCTCTTGATTCTATTGCTTAATAACCAGCCTTATAATTAGCAGAGTCATTTAAATAACAGTTACAAATTTGCCACATTTCTTTTCTGAATTAAGATGTGTTAAATTGTTGTTAACGCTGATTTCAAAGTAACATCTCTCATATTTATTAACATGAGTAATTGAAACCTTACTGAAAAGGACCTGGGCCTGCATTCCTTACCCAAGCAGAACTCTTAGGCCAATGTTTTTAAAAATGGCCACTGAATTTGGTTGTGTTAATTTCTGGGTGCCCAACTTGGGGCTAATTTTCAGAATTGCTGAGCACCAAATGAACTCCATGATTTCTCAACTGAATTGTGATGTTCCACTCCTCTTAAAAATCAGCCCCAAAGTGTCTCAACCTGGGATCCCAAAAAGAGGCACCCAAAATCAGTGTCTACTTTTTGAAAATGCAACTGCTGCTGACTTCAGTAGGAGCTCTGGCTAAGTAAGGAGTGTAGGATCAGACCTAATTCTGGTGTGTGAGTGTGCCATGTAATTAAAGTCCAAGTACATCTCTAAAATCAAATTGCATCAAAACATATTCAATTAGACTATTTAAATGTATGTCATTTGTAAGTGCTGTGAGGTAAACAACTGCTCCCAGGGTAAACTGTATTTCAGACTCATTTCTAGGTATGCTGCTGGATGATAGTTCACATAGTTGGACTAACTCAAAGTACTCAAGCGAAAAGAAATGAAATCAAAGATTGAGATTTTATTTGCATTTCAGCAGACTCCAGAAGCAGCAAGCCAGTCTTTTGTCCACAGAGAGCCTCTCTTAACATAGTTTGAGAAAAACTGGAAATGCTGGTTCCTTTATTACTGGCTGAAACACAAGTAAAATAATAAGCCTTATACTTCCACAGAGAATTATGGGTTAGCAGGTGTGTCCTAATCTAAGTTGGAATGTTTATATAGCAAATACTGATCTTGTTAACTAATAATTCTATTAGGCTATTGACTATTTGGTTATATGGACCAAAGTTCAGAGTATCAATCCATAAGCAAATAAGCAATTGTTCAGTCTTAACTTTTTAATGGACATTTGTGTTGCTAGCTAATTGTTTATCTTAAAATAGCATTTATGATAGATAAATATGAGATTTCTAGGTACCACACAGTATTGGGTTGCTTATATGATGATCCATGCTAGAAGCAGGTGTTAATATAGCTACACCCAGAAATATTCAAATAGAAACGTGCAGAAATGCTTTAGGGGCTACATTTAAAGACATATCTATTATGCTAATGGTATATAAGGATGCTACACCTATACATGAATTGCAAATGGAAGAAAATTATTATCCAGACACATCAGGAAAAGGGACATTCTCTTTGTAAGGAGAAAAGTGTCTGTTTTTTGTTTTTTAAGAAAATAGTACTAACAGCAATTATACCAGATGATTAATGAATTGTCCAGTGACCGTAAGGGCATGGGGGAGGGGGTTTAACCAAAGTTAGACATGTACTTTTTTCTTTACAGCTCATTTTAGGAGAAAGCCCTGTAATCATTTTTATTATCAGAATATAATTAAGATGTAAACCCTTCTGTTTCACTGTTAATTTGTCCTCAAAGTTAAATCTTAAAATCAGTCCAAAAAGATCAGCACACAGCAAACCTGTTAAATGTCTGCATGCTGTTTTGTATCTGAAACCTATTCCAAGTTCTGTCTTGGCAGCAAACTAAGTAAATTCTGAAACTTGAGTTCTCATATCATCTCTTAAGGAAAAAAATCTTAAAAATGATGGGAATGCCAGTAAGGGGGCTCAACGAAGCGGGTGCACAATACAGAGCCTGTTCTCTGGGAAGTCACAAAGGTGCATATCTCTTTCTCTTTGCAGAGCAACCACCAACAACAAAGTGCGAGAGCAGGCACTTCTTGAACTGAGTTTTGTAAACTCAGACCTGCAAATCTTAAAGGAGGAATTAGAAGGACTTAATATATCAGTGGAAGTTTATCAGAATACAGAGTAAGTGAAAATCTAGTCTATTAACAACCCATCTTTTGTTTACCAACTGGAAATAAAACTGGTGCTGGATGAGTGTGAATGCTGGACAGTATTTACATGAAAAAAATAGTGAATAAAGAACATGATAGAAGGAGAATATACTTTCTCTTAGTCAACAGTCTGACCACATAGTCCGTATATTTGTCGCTCTCTCTGCATCCACCTGAGCTGCCGCAGTGCCTTATGGGAGTTGTAGTTCAAGGTCCCTCATGCCTCCATTCTCCAATATGGACCATGCTCCAGGCCTGACTATATCTCACATGATGCATCGCAGTCTCTCCCTGTAGCCAAGCTGCCACTGCGGTGCATGAGGCACTGCAGAGGTTCAGCCCCAGGTAGAGAGCAGGGGAGCAAGGCCCATAGAGGAAAATGGTGGCAGCTCCCATTAGACACTGCAGCAACTCAGGCGGACACAAAGATTAATATTGTCCTGATGTGAAATGAAACATTTTGGTTTTCCCAAAGGAAAATTCTGCCAAAATCAAGTTTCCCATAGAAAATTTTGACACAGATCTCATTTTCTGAGGGGAAAATGTTTTGTTCAGAATTTTTCCACCCTCTCAAACATGCACAGGGAGTGCAGTAGGGAAGATGAAAGTGACAGCTGCCGTAGTGACAGAAGGGGGAGCAGATTTGTAATAGTCTCCAGAAGCACATACATACCCCACCTCTCCAACCTCCCTACAAGTCCTTGAGAAGATAATTTAAAACATTCTGCTCTTTGATGGTGAAGACCAGTGTTACCTCTAATTTTTCCCACCCATATGCAGAATTAATTTTGTTCTGTACACCAATATGCAGGAGATGTGTGACACATCACCTTCATATTGGTGCACAGAACAAAATTCATGTGGTGGGGGTGGGGACAAGAGGTTCAGAGTGTGGGAGGAGGCTCAGGGCTGAGACAGGGTTGGGGTGCAGGGGTGTGAGGGCTCTGGCTTGGGATGTGGGCTCTGGGGTGGGGCCGGGGATGAGGGCTCAGAGCTGTGGCAGAGGGTAGGGTACAGGGGTGTGAAGGCTCCGGCTGGGGGGTGGGCTCTGGGGTAGGGCCGGGGATGAAGGGTTTGGGGTGCAGGAAGGTGCTCTGGGGCTACAGAGGGGAGAGAGGGCTCTCCCCAGCACTCTTTCCCTGCAGCAGCACCTAGGCTGGGGAGGAGAAGCGCCTCTCCCCGCCACGGGAGATCTGGGGCTGGGGCTGCAGGATAGGCTGGGTCTGGGCCGCTCCGGGGCTGGTCTGCCCTGGCCACGCCTGGGTCCGGGCTGCACTGGGGCTGGTCCAGGCTGCGCTTCCCTGGCCGCGGCTGGGGCCGGGCTGCTCCAGGGCTGTTCCGGGCCGCGTTGCCCAGTCTGCACCTGAGGCCAGGCCCGATCTGGCCACGCTGCCCTGGCCACGACAGGTCCGGACTGCAGGCTGAGTTGGGGCTGGAGGGTGTCCTGGAGGGTATAGTGCCCCTCCTGTCGCAGGTTGGGGGTCAGGGGAGGGGTGCCCCTCCCCTGGCCATGGCAGGTCCCCAGTCCTGGCCGCACAGCTTACAGGGAACTTAGGTGAAGACCCAGGTTTTGGTGAAGATCTTGTGGCTGGAGAATGTTGGAACAGTGGCCCTTGTGACTGTCATTTTAGTTGACCGTCCTTTGAACTATTTCCTACATTTCCAATGCTGTTCATATAATAAAGAACCCCAAACTGCAGGTATTATGTTATGTACAGTCTAACCAAGTCTGCATAAAGGACACATCAATATTTTCTGTGTCAAAGAGTGGCACTCTTTCTCCATATCTATAGACCGTATACTCACCTCCATTTACGCAGTGCAAAGAAAAGGGGAAGTCTCAAAGAGTGCTAAGAAGAGGGAAGCCATGTAGGGGAAAAGGGGGGTATAGGCATATTACTACCTCAGTGACAACCTGTCTCCCATCTGTGACTGCTACAGAGAGAGAGCAGAGCTCGCAGAGAGCTGTACTTCTTAGGAGGGCTATATGCCCTTCTCTCCTGTTTTAGGCATGATGTGAACCATATGTTCGCCAGTTGACAGGGATCTCTTGTTGATCAAAGGATATAATAATGTGTCTTTATACAACTCTGGTAAGACCATCCTTGAAGAATGGATACAACTTTGGGCGCTTTTTGTACAAAATAGACACCAGAAAGTGAGATAAGACAGATAAACCTGTCAAGCAGATCTGCTTCTAAACAGAGGGCCATATTCTCCCTCCACTCATACCTGTGCAACCCTCACAGCAAAAACTGAGGGCAAAATCTGGCCCAGAAAGTTTCTGAGGTGGTGACAGGAATCCTGAAAATGCAAATGCCACTTGTTTCTTTTGTCTTCCTATTGAATATGATATGCTTATTCAGGATGTGGGGGGAGAGTTTGCCCTGAGCATGTACATGAGAATACCTCTATAGCCATAAAAATACTCGTAGTGTGCCTGTGGGCCAATCCTTACGGCGTGGTCAAAGGATATTTTTCAAAACTGTGTGTTACACACCCAGTATATAAAACTAGAGAAGTCTATTACTTAATCTGTGGGTTTGGCACTTCAGTAGCTAAAAGCAGATATTGAATGTCTTTACATTCATCATAGAGTTGGCAGAAACACCGGTGTCCATGGAAATTGTACACAAGCTTGGCTGCTTAATGAAGATGGATGATGAAAGAACATATTAAATCAATATTAAATCAATACGTAGTATTTTTAGTGCCTTGGCTTTTATCAGATTATTTTTCAAAGGTAACTGCGGTAAAAGCATTGAAATAACAGTTCTTTCCAATATTTGGTTACATTAGACGTGTTGCACCCTCAAGGGTGTGTGGGTGTATTTGTGCCTCACTACCAGGGAGAATAGTTTTAAACTCCATCGGGGTTCCATAGGAGCCCCTGGCAGATGCTGCCCAGGGTGAGCTGAATAAGCACTGCTCCTTGGGGCCCTGGCTCTTCTCCTCAACTGGCCCTGCCTACTTTCTGGATTGCACCAGCCAGCTCTAGGGACCTTCTTATGCTAAGCTGGAGTTGTGAGTAGATTGTACTGCTGCTCCCCTGGCAGACTTTTCACCACCAGGGACATGCATCCCAGGTTCTGCTGGCTTTGCTGATAGAAACCTATGAGTGAATCACTCCCACAGTATTTTGTAGTGAAAATAGGTCACTATGAACAATTATTAGAAAATCAGTTAAGTGTTTGCTGGAAAAAGAAAATATCAGATAAACATATCCAGATGCCAAGGACATTTCGTTTAAACAGACACTATTCCATCTTTCCCACTCAACACATTGTAAATAATAACTGGAAGAAATCCTGACATCTCTGTTTGAAATGGGGACATTTTGCTTAGGAAAAGAGTGGTACAGACAGATTTCACAGTTGGGACCAAATGCTCATGATCTCCTTATTCATATGAGTAGTCCCACTAGCAAACAATAGAATTACTCTTATAATGTGATCAAGAGTTTTATTTTCCTTGAGGATCAAGGGTTTTTGTTTGTTTGTTTGTTTGTTTTTTAACATTGCCATCTTGTACCTCCTCACCCTCCGTGGAGATGCTTCTCAGGGTTGAATTCTTCCCTCACCCTAACATTTTCTAAAAGTTAAATACACATGGCAGTGGTTCTCAAACTTTTTACTGTCAGGCTCCAGTTATATCAAAACCAGTGAGCTCAGGCCTTACTTTCCAATGTGCTAGAGACAATTTATATATATCAACCATTGATGGAATACTAAAATATTGAAGCATATGGAATTATCATAGCCCTTACCTGTGTATGTCTCTCTGCAGTGACAGGTTTCTGCACATGTGGTTTATCCAGATGTGGAAAGATTGATCCAAACTGATACAGACAAGTGATCTGTCAATCCCCACTTTCAGTTTCCTTGGCCCCCTCTTCCTCTGAGGGAACAATGGCTCAAGGGCAACTCTCATTCCCTTCAGACTCTTTCCCTTTGAGCTTCCATCCCTATGCCTATATCCCGATTCTGTCCCTCTCACCACACTGATAAATACAGCTGGCTTCTGCCTCCTCCTCCCCCAGTGTCTCATTCTGGCTGGGTACCCCAGCAGGGGAGATAGAGGAAGGAAGAAGAGACCAGACAGTCTTCCTTCACTCCTTACTCACATCACAGAGGCCCTTGGTGGCCAGAAGGAGTAATTGTACAGAGAGAGTTGAAGCCAGAATAAACTCCTGGGGAATCAAGAGCTCCCCCTGTCCACAAAAAAAGTTGTTGGAGTCTCCTGATAAAATCTCTCACACTGCAGCTGTTTACTTCACTTCTGTCATTCCTGAAATAGGAGCATTCATGATTGGGTTTTATAATAATAATTATTTTTTTAAAATAAGGAAAATAACTTGTGTGGGACAGAACAGTTTGTGTAAAGGGAGCGTTACACAATTCTGAAATGCTTAAAGCCTCCTAGTGCAAATAAAAAGGTGCATGTTACATATGCTGTCATCAAGAGACACAGCTCCTTCTCTCTATGGTCACATGGAACAAGACAGGTAATTTTGCCAACAGAACAATAGAAAATAAGGAGTAAACTTTCTGTTTGTCTTTTCTGTTGCCACAGAGAGACTTTTAGCATTCCCCTGATACCACTTGGCCTGAAGGAGACTAAAGAAGGGGACTTAACAATCCCTCTTAAGGTAAGTTTCGAAGATACAGATTTTAGAATCAATATTTAACATGTAACACTGCTGTTATGTTTGAAGGTGCGCAGCATTGTGTGCAAATTCGAAACATATTTTTATGCTTTATTTGCACTAATCTGATCAAGAACCAAGAATTTAGCACACCAAGAATTATCAAGGATTTGAGATCAGTTATGTCTTTCAGAAGATCTTTCCCAGTGACTTCAATGGATTGACTCTTGATTTACATTTGTGTGAAAGCAAAATCAGGCCCACTGTCATGGGCGGTGGGTATCAAAGGCTGGGGGTGCTAAGCCTCCCCTAACCCAGGCCGTGGCCCCACCCACACTCTGGCCCAAGGCCCCGCCATTGCTCCTTCTCTTCCCCAAAGCTGGCAGGGTCTCAGCCAGAGGCGGCTTGGGCCAGCTGGGTGTAGGGCAAGCCTGCAATGGGCGGCTGGAAGGGGCAGGCCGGGGTTCCTCCGGTCGCGCTGGGGCGGGGCCTCGGGTAGAAGGGGCAGGGCTGGGGGAATATTGGGGTTCACCCGCTGCCCAGGCCCACTGTTCTATGGCCCAGCTAGTGATGATGATGATAATAATAATAACCATTTATTGTTTGTACACTGCCCACATTTGTATGTGGTGCTCTACAATACAAATTAAACAAGATCCCTGTCCAGATGTTACAGTCTAAATGAAGACTAATTAAATAATCTGGCTGTACTCATCTTTTTCTCCCCCTACCACCAGGGCAGCTGGGGGATGGTTTGGCACGCAGGAAGGTAGTCCCAGTGTATTCAAGTGATTCTGATTTAGACTAAGATTTTCTGATGGGGAGGAAACATGGCCAGAGCATGCTATGCCTGGGGGCAGGAAGAGGCTATGGTGCCGAGGCAGCTATGACAGCTCTGCACTAGGGGAATACCCAGCTAGGACAGAGGAAGCCCCAGTTACTTGTGTGTGCCAGCTTTAAGGGGGCTTTATGGTGCAAAATAGTTGTACTGGGTCCAGGGATCAGACCATAGAGTGGATCCAATTTGCTCCCAGTTACATAGGTATAGCTGCCAGTGCAGTCACATGAAATTGCATTTGATAGAACTAAGAGCAGAACTGGGCTCCTACAGAAAATGTAGTGTTTAACATTTTTTCAATTAAAAGGGCTTTATTACTTCTATGTTTTGATTAATTATGTGATATAATTTTCTGTGAGCATTATAAAGATCATCCTTGGGGCACACAAAGTCTATGCCTGTTATGGATATTTATTCAGGTGAGCTCAGCTGTATTCAGCATATTAGATAATGAAATCCATGGAAGAAGGCTTTCTTTGCCAGAGGCAGGGAAATAAAACAATCAGGAATAATTCTCCATGGAGCAAGTAAACAGCAACAGTTTTACCAAGCCAAGAGCCACTTGGATTCAGAGCTTCACAAGGGACTTTAATCTGCATTCTTTCAAGCAAAACTCTCACTGACTTTAATGGGAGTTCTGTCTTAGAAATGAGTATATGTTTGGAATCAAGGAGAATTCTCTTTGGGTTTTCATTGACAGCTACTAGTTCTACATACTACTTAGTGGGAAATAGCTGTTTGAATCAGGAAGAAAGCTCTTTCTCACTACTACTTTGGATCTTTTTTGAACTTTATAGCGCAAATTCAGAGGATGAATTGTAAAGCTGGTGTAAGCTAAACTCCCTTACACTAATTGAGACTCCCACATATAGACTCCCTTAGCTCTGTATACCCCCTCATCTCCTACTGTGGGAGTCTAAGTTGGTGCATCTAACCATGACAAGGAGCCAGAAGAAGTAAACTGAAAAAACCCACATCCTACTTTAACTTACTACTTGGAGTCAATGGAGTTACACTGAAGTAAAACAAGAGAATCAGCACCCCTTCTACTAACTTAGACTCTCTTAGACATCACTTAAGAATTTGGCCCCACTTCTCGATCTGTAGGTTATTCTTGATTGGCCATATTCTGCTGCCATTTATACCAATGGAGTTTCATTAAACTCAGTGGAGTTTCACCAATATAACTAAGAGCAGAATTTGAGACAATATCTTTCTATTAATGAATTTTCATGATCATTTGACTCCCTTGTTGTTTTGTATTTAATAGGTTCAGATGTCAATTTCAAAACTATTAACTCAGTTTGAAAAAATAGCAGAAAAAATATTATAGCTGTTTAGAGTCCGCTACGCAAGATTGGAGTTTCTTATATTTGATACAAGATGAAGATATTACCTTGAAATCTTGTCTGTTACAGTTTTCCTGCTTTTTTGCAAATCTGACATATATAAATACAACACCATTTATTACTAATGAGTAGAAACATTGCAAATCATGAGATTTTTAAATATTCAGGACACTGTTCATATTTGCATAGAAATCAAAAACTTTGGCCTGAAAGAGTAAGGGTATTCCACGTTTTATTTTGTTTAGGACTTTATCCTGGAACATTACAGTGAAGACAGTTCTGATTATGAAGATGAAATAGCTGATCTTATGGATTTGAGACAAGTAGGTTTGATTTTGCATGTTAATTCTTGTTGTGACTGTGCCACCATATCCAGTTTTAATCTTGCAGATTTTTATTAATAATGTTCATATATGGTTAGATTGTGGCACTCTTAATGACTAATACTTTGCTCCAGGTTACCTTACTTCCATTTGTTTTAGCTCCCAAGATATATAAAATGACAGCCTCCATATCCCAAGGACTATAATGCAACATTTCCATCAGTGATTTGGAAGTCTCACTGATAAAATTTGCAAATGACAAAGATTGGCAGAATGGTAAATAATGAGGACAGAATAGTTATATGGTGTGATTTGTATCACTTGGCAGCGGGGGCCCATTCAAACAAAATGGGTTTCAGTACAGCTGTGTGCAGAGTTGTACATCTAGGAATAAGGAATGCAAGCCATATCTATAGAATGGGGGGAGTGGGAGGACTGAAATATGGAAAACAGTGACTTTGAAAAGGATTTAGGGGGTCATAGTGGACAAATACCTCTGTATGAGCTCCCAGTGCAGTGGTATGGGGAAAAAGGGCTATTCCTCACATATAATCCTGCATCTTGGCAAGGGTTTAGACAAGATGACCTTGTGGTCCCTTCTAACCCTATGATTCTATGATATAAATAAAACAGGTGAAGAAATGCTTGGGGTGAGAAAATGATGTAACAGGAAAGCAAAGTAACTGAGCAGTTTAACACAACTTGTAAATGGTTTGTTTTTAAAATATTATTGTTTAAATTGTAATGGGGGAATAAACTAAAGGGTTTGAAGTGAGGCATGAAAGCAGGAGTGGAGTAAATAGTAGGGATCTGTAGCACAATACTAGTAATTTCTATTTACTAGATGTTGTTTGTTCAAATATTCTTCTATAGTTCACACAATACCTACTGTCCAACATTGTATTTCAACATGTGTGAGATTTGCCTATCACACACTATCTCCCATGTGTTTCCTTAGGGCCACGTACAGCCTTCTCTCCAGCACAACTCTATTATTCAGAGTTGGGTGCACACATCAAGGGCAGGCTATGCCCCTATGCTTCTAATTCCTTCATTCCAGACACTTTTATATTATGCGAAAGTCCCATTGATTTTAGTTGAGCAGAACTGTGTCCTTGGTGTGTCACATTATTCACGCTGAAACTAAACAGAATGCAATTGTGTGAATGTATGTTTTTACATATCTGAACTTTAAGGCCTGCCGTACTCCCAGCAGAGATGAATCTGGCATTGAGATGTTGATGAGCTATTTCATTCAACTTGGCTTTGTAGAGAACAGATTTTTTCCACCTACCAGACATATGGGGATTTTATTTACCTGGTAAGCTTTTTTTTTAGAACACTGTTAACCTTGAACTAGCTCTATGTAATTTGAAAGACTTATATTTTTCTTGTACAGTGTGTTTTCATATTTATACTGTTACGCACTCTCTTTAGTTTGTACAGTAAAGTTCTGAAGAGAATAAGGCCCTTTCTATGCTGAGAGTAAGGTCTGTGAAGGGCCATAAGAATTCTCTTTAAACATCTACACATGCTACCTGGATTTTGGGTCTTGGTGGATATGAGCACATAGGAGCCGGTGGGGAATGAGCATAGCCTTGACTACATGCTTACTACTTGCTGGGCAGCATGGTGAGAATGGGGGAGTATTGTGATTTGCTGCTGATACTCCTTGCGGGGTGCAATGTACACCTCACCCCTTGCTCAGGCTGTCGTATGGAACACAATCTAGTCCTGTGTTATTGAAAGTACAAGATTTATAGGCTAAGAGTATCTACTACTGTCTATCTTAATTTGTAATGAATAGGAAACACTACATAGTCCAAAATATCAGAGAACTGTAGAAAGACTTCTGCACTGGCTCAGCATGGCAAGTGCTATGATATACTGCACCATTATCAATGGGAGAAGAATGTGACTCAGTGAATTTAAATCTTGTGTTTGTGACTAGAACAGGAGACTCCTACCATTTGGTCAAGAAAAGCTATTTGAGTTCCAGTCCAGCATTGCAAGAAGGGAGACATTGCTTTTAAGAAAGCTCAATAAATCCACTCACTAGCTCCTGGAGCTCAGGGATATATTTGCATTACATGCATGTGATTATGAATTACCATAAGTTTCAGCAGAAGCAGAAAAGGCATTATAGATCCTGCTATTCTCTTTTGAACAATAAAATGAAAACACTGGTAACTCTGTGCTCGCTTGTCTTTTTATGCTTATTTCATTTTGCCTTCCTCTCTCTCTCCCTCCCCCCCGCTTCCCTCAGGTATGATTCCTTCACAGGTGTCCCTGTCTGTCAGCAGAATTTGTTACTAGAAAAAGCCAGTATTTTATTTAATATTGGAGCCCTCTACACACAGATTGGTACAAGATGTAATCGGCAGACCAAGCCCGGACTTGAAAATGCTGTTGATGCTTTTCAGAGAGCTGCAGGTATGTAAAGAGAGAAGGAGCTGTGGTTCATTTACATACTGAAAATACAGGGGAGGTTATTTCTGGGGAAGTCTCAATCTGTCTCTTACATACAGAGCTATACATTCAATATTGACTTTTGATTTTATTAACACAGTCCAAACAGAAAAGGAGGTGGATTGAAACCCAAAGGTCCTCACAAGGATCTGTACTAGGCTTTAATTAAACATTCCTGTTAGCCGTAGTTTAACATTTCAAAAACCTGGAGCTGCTGTCTGAACAACAAGTCTGGTAAAGACAAAGTGAATATTGTAGTTAATGATTAATTAGCTGTACATTCACCTTTTCTTTGCCCGTTCTCCATTACATCACTGTAACTGCATTGACTTGTGTAAAATGTGTGTGATGGGAGTGGATAATCGGTCCTATAGCATCTACATTTTAAAAACATTTTAAAACAGTCAAGTCTATTTTGATCCCAAACGAAGCTTATTGTCCAATTGAGGTCAATGGTAAATTTGCCATTGACTCCGAATAGGAGCAGGATCTATGCCCATAATGAATCATTGGAGTTTCTATTCTGCTGTGTCTGTGGTAGTTAATGGGAGCTGCACCCCTTCAGGCAGGGGTGAAAGTAAAGCCGAAGACTTACTGGTACGGGAGCTGGCTTCGGCCCCCGGAAGGGGCGGCGCCTCGCATAGGAGGAGCGGGACTGGGGGTCAGCATCCCCCAGCCAGCCCTTACACGCTGCCTGGCCCGTGCCGCCCGGGGCTCCAGTGGCGATTTAGTTGCAGTAGTGGCAGTGGCGGCCGGAGCCCCGGGTCCTTTTAAATCGCTGGCCCCGGGACAGCTGCTCCTTTTGTTCTCCCCCCCGTCAGCGGATGGGGGGCAAAAGGGGCAACAATATTAAAGCACTGCCACGGCAACGCTTTAAGCAGGGTCCTTTGCCGCGGCAGCGCTTTAAAGTCAGCTGTACGGGTCGGTATCGGTGGCCACATTTTACCAGTACGCTGTACCTGTTTACTTTCACCCCTGCCTTGAGCTAACATGCTAAAACAGTTCTGATTCTGATTTTCATTAGAGTAGGTTTGGAACAAAAACCCTTCATTTCTTGGATAAAAGTCATCATGTAAGTGTAAGGTATTGTATTACTCATAGTGTTTACAGGTGTTTAGAGGCAGTCTTAATATCTGTGAAATGAAAATGTGTTGCAAGATGATAATTATAATCCTCAACTGCTGACTTCCAATTTTGTGAAATGCTATCATAGTTGTCAATCACTGAACAAACAGTGTGTTACTTTAATAGCCCTAGTTCTTGTATTCAAAGAATTATATAGAGATTTTGAAAATATGGCAGTTTTCATTTTTAAATAGATTTTTGTTTTGCCACACTACAGACTTGTTGTCTTTCTAGAAGAGGTTTCAGCATTTGTGAAATAAGAGAATTTCTCTTTAAAATTAAATATATTCCTACTTAGAGCAATAGCTATGCCAGTGTTTTGCTAGAGCTGTATTAAGTCATAAACTGCAGCACATCATCTGCAGCCAACATACCTTTTGCAGGGCCCCACAACAACATGCACTCTGTAAGCACTTCATTGTACCTGTGCATAGCTCCGTAACACGTACGTTGTGTTAACAGAGTGACATGATATAGTACACGTAGTAGCTATTCTGTATGGGTGGGCTGAAGTTGTTGCACTGATTCAATACATAACAGAGGCCTCAACATGGATAGTAAAAAAATGTCTGAATTATTTATCACACAAAGAGAAATAAATTGAGGCACCAGAAAATGAGGATGCTTTTCTGGACTTTCAGAGCCAATTCCATTTATTTCTTAAGAAATCAGTAGCTCAGATGGGCTTGACAGATTTTTGATTGATAGCCTGTGATTAAAATTTGAGTAGTGGCAATTTCTGTCTCCAAACGTGTAAAAGCTAACTCACTAATAAAATAAAGAACATAGCCGGATAGAACTGAAAAGTAGTGACAATGAGTGACAGATATAATAATAATACAGGGGGAACTTCCATAGCCCCAGGTACTGCTGTGATACTTGTTCAGTAACATTGGGAAAGAAGCTCTAGCAGAACTTGATAAACCAGTTGGATGAGATGAATGGGAATGTTACATTTTAATCCTTGCAAGCATTATTTATTTTTTACACTACACTTAGTGTTTGTTTTAATTTTATAAATGATAGATTAGTGGAAGTGGATGACTGAAACAGAATCTAATTTTGCCCTGCTGAACAAACTGTTCCAGTTTACTTATGGGGCTGGAACAGCACTAGACTTGAGCACACAGTGCACTGAGCCTCCTTTTGGAGTGTTTCCAAGATTAGTTGAATTGTTCTTTTTTTGCGGTAGGGGTCTCAAACTACCTTTTCAGAGGCCTAAGGATTCCCTCTCTCTTTCCTATTCCTGTGTAACAGACCACCCTTAGGTCCCTGTAGAATGTCAGTATGTACCCAGTAAAGCACCACTCAAAAATCAGTCAGAGGAATTCTTATAAGTGAATCTTAAGGCATCGCTCCCCTTGTCCTGCCCCACAGGACAGCTTCCGTAGCCCCTGTGAATGATAACCCAGGATTGGGAACTGAGCACAGCTGTTTTAGATGGTAATACAGACCACTAATCTATATGACAGTGGGTCATTTTAACTCTTCACACTTAATAAGAATCCATTTTGGATAATTTAATTTGGCTGAGTAATTTCTAGAAAATATATTTTCAAGTTTCTCAATTGTCTTATTTGCTACTTTTCAATTGTACTTGATAATTTGTGAATTGTGATCACCTGTAAAACTCCTTGTCTGTTGTAATAATTAGAAAAACTTTTTAAAAATTCAGGTATTTTAAACTACCTAAAGGAAACATTTACTCACACACCAAGTTATGACATGAGCCCGGCCATGCTGAGTGTACTGGTCAAAATGATGCTTGCTCAAGCTCAAGAGTGTGTCTTTGAGCAGATCAGTCTACCTGGAATACGAAATGAATTTTTCACACTAGTGAAGATGGCTCAGGAAGTTGCTAAGGTAAGCCATGAGACTTAGTGTTTTTAAACCCACACCAAGTTTGTTTCCAGTGCCAAATCACTAGTTTAAAACTCTACCGTAGTGCCCATTTATTAAATCTTTAAAGCGTTTTTGTGACTTTGGTTTAAAGTATTGAGCGCAAAATGCTAATTACTGTTAATGTTTTTAATACAAACTGCAACTACAGGGACTCATGTCAAGTTGTTGGCACAGTATGAGAACCTAAAATGTAATCTGTTTGCAAGGTTGTATGTTCTAACAAATACAGCGAGTTATGATGGAAATACTGACACATCCTCAACAGTGCCACTAAAATAGGAACATAGGACCTCCTGGATCATTGAGTCCAGTCCCTGCTACTGCAGGTAATCTTGTCAAATAATAAGAGCTGTTCCATTAAAAAAAATTATCTAATGGAAACAAATACCAGAACAGCAACTGGACAGTGAATAATTTATTTACTGAAGTTCTGTGTGATTCATCTTAGCAAATTAAAGTACACAACTGCTTGTAATTCTCACTGAGAATTAATAAGATTATTTCTGACAAAAATGTATGAGTAGTTATGACAATAGCATTTGATTCCATAAAGTAGATGACCAGCTCCTGCCCCCAGATCAACATGTGAAGGAGGTGTCAATTGCTTATGTGGCACCACTTGTGCCCCTCTCCCATTAACTGCCGCCAAATGCTGATCTGGCTTTACTTCTGCAGCTGGAGACTGGGGTTGGCTATATATCCTGCCCACCACTAATGATCCTCCTGATCTACCCCCAAAAGTTTCACTGATCCTTCCCGGAGTTCTGTGTATTGTACTGGCAGCATGGTGGGCAAGAGTTAGTTATGGTTTGGTAGTGATGGGGTTGCAAAACTTTCACAGGTTTACTCACAAATAAGGCAGGCAGGCTCTGACATGGAAGATAATCCACCACACTCAATGGAGGGTGGTGACATCTGAACATAGGTAGCAAAATGAGACATGAAGGTTCACTCAATCAATTCATATTATCAGATAAAGGTCATGCAGTACCTGACTCTAAATAGGATGGGCAAAACTTGTCCTGCCAATCTTAAAGAGCCTACACGGACCAAACTCATTTCACATGTAACCTAATATCAACTTTGAATCCAGCTTTCCTGAGCTGACAAATGTGTTTATTAAAACACTGATCTGCTTTACCCTCCTTTCAGTTGCATTAATAAGCCAAGATTTGCTTGCAAATTATAGAACTGTGTAGATATTTATATTATATAGCAGGGGTCGGCAATGTTTGGCACGCGGCTCGCCAGGGTAAGCACCGTAGCGGGCCGGGCCAGTTTATTTACCTGCTGACGCGGCAGGTTCGGCCGATCGCGGCCCCCACTGGCCGCGGTTCGCTGTCTCGGGCCAATGGGGGCGTCGGGAAGCGGCGCAGGA